CAGGCAGGCAGGCAGGCAGGCAGGCAGGCAGGCAGGCAGGCAGGCAGGCAAGCTAAACAACAGAGTTATCCTACAGAATGGTCTTCTGAAAGGGATCCTATTTATGCAAGAATAATCTTTAAAGGTTCTTATGTGAAGGAACCTTTACAGATTATTCTTGCATAAATAGGAGAGCTGTAGGGAGAGCTGTAATGTTCTCTGAAATTCATTACAGAATTGTTGATGTGATCTACCCACAGCAGCTAGATCACATCAACTGAACTGCAGGCAGAGTTATCATAAAAAGAGCAGCACTCTCTTTAAATCTCCAGAACAGTAAGAACAGTAAGAACTTTTACCATGAAATATTTCTTGTGACACGTTTTAGCTCCAAATTACCACTGATCATGGCAGCTCTGTATAGAACAGGGGTGCCTGACCTTTTTAGTCTGAGAGCCACACTTAGCTTTTGACTGGCATACTAGAAGTGACATTTCAAAAGCAGGCAGAGCCAGGACAAAACATTGGGTGGGCTAGGGCAACAATTAGAAATGGTTAACTTACATTTAAATTAAATATCGCAATTTAATTACAGACTATAATAGATTCCCCTGTGCCTCATGTTAATTGCAGTTTGTTGGCAACTTCTGGATGGTTCTGGGCACTATTCTCCTAGTTTCAAAAGCTAGATTTGAGCTTCAGACTGAGCCCCACTATTGCACTCTTAGATTTACACTTTCACGTTTATTTACCGTAGACCATCAGCTGTACTTTCCGCGTAGCATAACCTGCTGCATTCGTCGCAGTGCAGATGTATTCCCCAGACTCCTCGCCTCCCGGAGAAACTACATAAAGACTTCCATCAGACCCTGCAGAAAACTTTAAACTGCTGGGAGAAATCACTTCTCCTTTCTGTAAAAAGACAGGAAAATGTTAAGGAGATGAACTTGTTTGCATGGAACATCAAGTAAAAACTGCCAGTGTATATCTTAATAATGGTTTGTGTAACTCAGCATCTTATCTTCGCAGCTTGCCTCGAAGTCATTGTGTCACTGCTGTTTTCTTTTACATTTCACAGAGTTTGCTGTTATTATTGGCTCAATTCACACTAAGAGTGTTCCTTTGAGAATTGTCCTTCCCTTCTTCATTTTTTAAATCTATAGTTCTAAAAAGTGACTGCTAGACTACATTTAACCATTAGACAAGCTTAATCTGAAAGATTTTCTACTGCAACTATGATAAATTAAGCAGTGAGTATTGCCAGATAATGCCTTGATCTATTTTGGATAGAAAGCTCCTTCTCTCTCCTTCTCCTTCTCCTTCTCCTTCCTTCCTTCCTTCCTTCCTTCCTTCCTTCCTTCCTT